ATATTTGTAGCAATAGCCAACAATACATTGTACGGGTCAAAATTATAGATTTTTCTTTTATGCCAAAAATCATTAGGATATTAAGTAAAGATCATGTTCCATGAAGATATTTAGTAAATGTCCTACCGTAAATATATCAAAACTTATTTTTTGATTAGTAATATGCATTGCTAACAACTTCATTTGAACAACTTTAAAGATGATTTTCTCAATATTTAGATTTTTTTGCACCCTCAGATTCCAGATTTTCAAATAGTTGCATCTCGGCCAAATATTGTGCTATCCTAACAAACCATACATCAATGGAAAGCTTATTTATTTAAAAAAATTGACCCATATGACTGGTTTTGTGGTCCAGGGTCACATATATAATGTATATAAAAACGTCCTGCTTGTAAATTCACACTATTCCGCGTTTCTTTATCACTTCCACATCTAAATTGCTGTCCTGCCCACTAATACAGCTGAATCTGCTGCCAGTCTCTATATCCCATCATACCGCCCAGTCCTGCCAGTCGCTATGGTTACAAAACAGGACGTTCTGGATCTGTTGGTTGCTTGCCATGCTTCAACAGTGTGACTGATGCCAATGTGTGTGTGTGTGATGTTTCCTCATGTAATACATTAAACAATAGTGTCGCATTTTTGGAGTGTCTTTCTGCATCTGTGTTGAATGCGTGACGTTACTGCATCATATTCCAGATCCTTGTGATTATGAAGAGAAATGTGGGAGCGAGTGGATGAAAGAAATCAAATGTCATGGAGCAGCAGAGCGTTGTGTGTTTGCAGTGAGCGCAGCTCTAAAATAAACAGTGCAGCTGCCGCTTAAAATAGCTCATTCATTAATTACACACACACACACCCCACAGATACACACAGATTGCAGGGTTTGTTGGGTTTCCCAGTAGATTGGGGTTCATTACAGACATGTGTTAGTTCAGTGTTCAAATGTTCACTGGTTCATCTGACCGAAGACACTTCATTCTGTTGGTGATTCCCGTAAGCAGGAGATCAAACACATTGTGCATCAGAAGATTGATTACAGAAACTGGTACACTGAAAAATTTTCTGCGTTTACAGCTCGTAATTTCAGTTTACTGCTCACATTTCTGTTTACAGCTCGCAATTCTGCGTTAACCGCTCACAATTCTGCGGTAACAGCTCGCAATTCTGCGTTTACATCTCACATTTCTGCGTTTACATCTCAGAATTCTGCGTTTACATCTCACAATTCTGCGTTTACAGCTCGCATTTCTGCGTTTACAGCTCGCATTTCTGCGTTTACATCTCGCAATTCTGCGTTAACAACTTGCAATTCGAGTTTACATCTCACAATTCTGCGTTTACATCTCACAATTCTGCGTTAACAGCTCGCAATTCTGCGTTAACAGCTCGCAATTCTGCGTTAACAGCTCACATTTCTGCGTTAACAGCTCGCAATTCTGCGTTTACAGCTCGCAATTCTGCGTTTACAGCTCGCAATTCTGCGTTTACAGCTCGCAATTCTGCGTTTACAGCTCGCAATTCTGCGTTAACAGCTCGCAATTCTGCGTTAACAGCTCACATTTCTGCGTTAACAGCTCGCAATTCTGCGTTAACAGCTCACATTTCTGCGTTAACAGCTCGCAATTCGAGTTTACATCTCGGATTTCTGCGTTTACATCTAGCAAATCTAAAAAAAAAAAAAAAAAAAGGTCAAAATTGTGAAAAACTCAGAATTGCAAGGAAACATGTCCAGATTGTGAGATAAAAATTGCAATTATGCGGTGGAAGCATACTTTCGTAGTTTTTGACTCCATGATAGGAAGGAAGGGAGGCAAGGGAAAATATTATAATACTTGTAATTTGTAAATAAGGTCTAGGTTTGCCTCTGAGGTCTCTCGTCCAATTAAATAGACTCTTTTTATTAGCTTTAGTCTGGCAATTTTGTGTTGGAGTGGATCTAATTGAATCTTTTTGCTGATGTAAAATCTAATTTGTTGATGAAATGCTTTGTTTCATCTCCTTTTTCTGGGAAAACCTGTGTGTTTGTTCCCAGTAGTTTTAGTATTCTATGTGCAAAATGTGGAAGAGCACTCTAGAACGTAAATGTCATCTCCAGTCCCAGTTCCCGTAAGGAAATAAGTCATCTGGCATCACCAGGATGGGTTTTACAGATCAGGTATTTTAATCATCTTATGCTAATGTGCATTTTTAGCACACATATTTTTCACTCTTTGCACAAAATATTTGAATTTAGTCTGTTACATCTGTTGTTCATCTCACATTCAGTCTCTGAGGAAGTGCGTTTTGTAAAATTGCACATGAAGCGTAATAACGGTGATAACATTTTGCGGGTTAAATTTTTGTTTGTCAGCGTGAAGCGTCTCTGAACAGTGTTTTTGAGAGCTGATGAGTGTAATGTAACATTATTGATGAAGATTTACTGAACTCTGGAACTGTTTTGAGTATCTTTAGCTGTTAAATACACAGAACCATTGACTGATTGATTGATTATTGGTTTTCTCGACAGCTGCTCTTGTGCAGGAGGGCAGCGCATTACGCAGATCTGAGTGTGTATGCATCAGTTTAACAGTGATGGGCCTGTGTGTGTGTGTGTGTGTGTCGAAGGGCTGCACGGTAAATAAAACCCATAATTTACACAAGCAAATGTTTAAATTAAGTAGTTTTCAAATGTGTATTTAAACTAGAAAATCCTCATGCAGCACTGCAAACCATTCCTCCACTCCATGCTGTTGCATTAAATGCAAGCTTGGTGGATATGACCGTACTGTGCAGCCCAGGTCTGTATTGTGTGTCTGATGTTTGAGTATGTCTGTATGCGCGTGTACGTTTAATGTTCAGGTTTGTGTTTATTGTTAGCACTTTGTGTCTGATATCTTGCAACCGAGTTTGTGTGGAGCTCCAGTGATGGATCTGCATGTTTGTTTGTGTGTGTGTGTGTGTGTGTGTGTGCAGAGGTGGACAGTAGTGAAGTATTTTTCCTTTACTCAAGTAAATCTAAAAAGTATCTGTACTTTATCAGAGCGTTTTCTTTGGAAAATCTTTACTTCACTACATTCCGAAACACAATGTTGTACTTTTTACTGCATTTCATAAATAAAAGTTGTTGTTTTTTTACCTTTAATACTTAAGAACATTAAAATTGCAGTAATTTCTTGTACTCAAGTAAAACTTTGAATTACTTTTACTTGAGTAAAAGTAAGAAAGTACTAGATTTCTAATGCAATTAAGTATTAAATTATATTTAATATGAAATGATGTGCAGTAAAAAGTACAATGTTATGCTTTGGAATGTTCTGAAGTAAAAGTTTTCCAAAGAAAAACACTGATAAAGTACAGACACTTGAAAAATGTGCTTTTAAATAGCGCTGCACGATAAATCGCGATGAAATCGCGATTAGGCAAAAGCTGTGATAGTCATGCGAATCTTGTAACGGTAGCTGAATAAACAAGATTTAACTGCTTTCATTGATTCAGCGTGACTAATAAGCACACGACTATGACAATATATGAGTTCTTATTATAATTATTAGAATAATTTTCATTGTAGTGAAGTATATAATAATGCAATGCCTTTATCACTGCTTAGAAAACTATGAAATATGTTGCGTGCCTTATTCTGTGTAAGAAGCCACATCATCTCACAGAAGGATTTATTTCAAACACTCGACTGACGTTATGAAGTGAGTTTGGAGTAAAAACATGTTATTAAATGTGGTGCTTTCAGATGGAGCAGCATTTACTACACAGAGCCGTAGTTCACTGAGAAGCTACGCAAACAGCTGTCACGATTGCAGAATGATTTCTTCGATTTCATTATCGCTCGATTATATAGTCTGCTTTATTTTTTACATTACTTGTCAGTGAACTACGGCTCTGTGTAGTAAATGCTGCTCCATCTGAAAGCACATGATGGAGGTTTACTACTGATCATAGAACCGCTTTACTGACGAGATGCGCACGACAATTGCATTCGATTAATCGTGCAGCCCTACTTTTAAAGCAGAGTAACAATCCTTCACTACTGTCCGCCTCTGGTGTTTGGATTGTCAGAATGAGTGTCTGTGTCTGTTTTCACACAGCTCTGTGTGTGTGTGTTCTCGTCCCGCACGCAGGGGTAACAGGGAAAGCTCCAGCCGGGCCTCCAGCAGTCGCCAGAGCAGCACCGACAGCGACATGAAGAGCCTGGAGCCGCGTCCGTGGAGCAGCACAGACTCTGACAGCTCCAACCGCACGCTCAGACCTCCGGTCACCAAAGCCAGCAGCTTCAGCGGTATCTCCATCCTCACACGCGGAGACAGTCTGGGCAGCGCCAGGGGCTCCCGCACAGGTAACACACACACCCTTGCTGATACATTGAAAATGTAGCAATCCCTCATATCAAAGCCGTGATCTTAGTATGCTCATGAACAACAAGAGATGCAGATGCAAAGGATCAAAATCCTGCTGCTCATTGCATCTTAACGCGTTTTCGCAAAAGAGTTTTTTGCTGCTACAAGTTTGAAAAACAAAACATCTTGTATACGGCATACTTTACTCAATAATAGTTTTTGAAGAAACGTGCTTGGGAGGGAAATTTTATTATTTTCTTTTTCATTTCATTTTATTTCTCCCAACTAGGGCTGGGACAGTAAATCGATGCATCGCGTTTCGTGGAACGATTCTGAGATTTTCAGAATGCATCGTGATTCTCTCTGGAAGCTTAGTTTTTAACAGCAGACGGCGCTCTAGGCTAGTTTTTAACCACACACTCAAATGCTCACGAAGAAGAGCGCTTGTGTGTTCGGCTGAGTCATGTAAGGGGTTAATTATACTTGCACATCTGCTTTTATGCTTTTATGATGCGAGATTAGCGTAAACACAGCCCACTGTGAACATCCTTGTAATTCCCTTCAACCTTTTCGAACTTCATGAATGATTATTTTAGGTTTAAATGGTGCGTGTTTAAGGAACTGGAAGCAAGCAGAATACAGCTATTTCTAAAGCATGCAGTGCCATCTGCTGTTAAAAACTAAGCTCAGAATCGATTCGAGAGAGAATTGCGATGCCTTCGGGAAATCTCAGAATCGATGCGGAATCATTTCTCGATTCGCGATGCATCGATTTATTGTCCCAGCCCTACTCCCAACTATGTTTCTTCCCAAACAACTTGCTTGGGAGAATATTTAATTTCATTTTATTCTATCCCAAAACAGGAATAAAATAGGGGGAAAATATTTATTTAGTTACCAGGTATATATATATATATTTAAAATATATAGTAATTTATATTAACATTTATATATAATTTATTTATTTATATATATATATATATATATGTGTTTATTTATTTGTTTGGTTGGTCGGTTAGTTGTTTTTTTTTCTTTTGCAAAATGCTTTGAACTGCTTATTTTTGAAGGGAAATGAATAACAGGGATGACATTTTAAATTACATTTTAAAAATATATTTTTATTTCGATATTTTTATATGCTTCTATATCATGTGTTGTCTATTGCTCTATTTCAGGTCAGACACATCATAGTACAGTGGGGGAAAACAGTATTTAGTCAGCCACCAATTGTGCAAGTTCTCCCACTTAAAAAGATGAGAGAGGCCTGTAATTTTCATCATAGGTATACCTCAACTATGAGAGACAAAATGAGAAAAAAAATCCAGAAAATCACATTGTAGGATTTTTTACGAATTTATTTGCAAATTATGGTGGAAAATAAGTATTTGGTCAATAACAAAATTTCATCTCAATACTTTGTTATATACCCTTTGTTGGCAATGACAGAGGTCAAACGTTTTCTGTAAGTCTTCACAAGGTTTTCACACACTGTTGCTGGTATTTTGGCCCATTCCTCCATGCAGATCTCCTCTAGAGCAGTAATGTTTTGGGGCTGTCGCTGGGCAACACAGATTTTCAACTCCCTCCAAAGATTTTCTAGGGGGTTGAGATCTGGAGACTGGCTAGGCCACTCCAGGACCTTGAAATGCTTCTTACGAAGCCACTCCTTCGTTGCCCGGGCGGTGTGTTTGGGATCATTGTCATGCTGAAAGACCCAGCCACATTTCATCTTCAATGCCCTTGCTGATGGAAGGAGGTTTTCACTCAAAATCTCACGATACATGGCCCCATTCATTCTTTAGTTTACACGGATCAGTCGTCCTGGTCCCTTTGCAGAAAAACAGCCCCAAAGCATGATGTTTCCACCCCCATGCTTCACAGTAGGTATGGTGTTCTTTGGATGCAACTCAGCATTCTTTCTCCTCCAAACACGACAAGTTGAGTTTTTACCAAAAAGTTATATTTTGGTTTCATCTGACCATATGACATTCTCCCAATCCTCTTCTGGATCATCCAAATGCTCTCTAGCAAACTTCAGACAGGCCTGGACATGTACTGGCTTAAGCAGGGGGACACATCTGGCACTGCAGGATTTGAGTCCCTGGCAGCGCAGTGTGTTACTGATGGTAGCCTTTGTTACTTTGGTCCCAGCTCTCTGCAGGTCATTCACTAGGTCCCCCCGTGTGGTTCTGGGATTTTTGCTCACAGTTCTTGTGATAATTTTGACCCCACGGGGTGAGATCTTGCATGGAGCCCCAGATCGAGGGAGATACATTCTCCCAATTCTCTTCTGGATCATCCAAATGCTCTCTAGCAAACTTCAGACGGGCCTGGACATGTACTGGCTTAAGCAGGGGGACACGTCTGGCACTGCAGGATTTGAGTCCCTGGCGGCGCAGTGTGTTACTGATGGTAGCCTTTGTTACTTTGGTCCCAGCTCTCTGCAGGTCATTCACTAGGTCCCTCCGTGTGGTTCTGGGATTTTTGCTCACAGTTCTTGTGATCATTTTGACCCCACGGGGTGAGATCTTGCGTGGAGCCCCAGATCGAGGGAGATTATCAGTGGTCTTGTGTGTCTTCCATTTTCTAATAATTGCTCCCACAGTTGATTTCTTCACACCAAGCTGCTTACCTATTGCAGATTCAGTCTTCCCAGCCTGGTGCAGGTCTACAATTTTGTTTCTGGTGTCCTTTGATAGCTCTTTGGTCTTGGCCATGGTGGGGTTTGGAGTGTGACTGTTTGAGGTTTTGGACAGGTGTCTTTTATACTGATAATGAGTTCAAACAGATGCCATTAATACAGGTAAGGAGTGGAGGACAGAGGAGCCTCTTAAATAAGAAGTTACAGGTCTGTGAGAGCCAGAAATCTTGCTTGTTTGTAGGTGACCAAATACTTATTTTACCGAGGAATTTACCAATTAATTCTTTAAAAATCCTACAATGTGATTTTCTGGATTTTTTTTTCTCATTTTGTCTCTCATAGTTGAGGTATACCTATGATGAAAATTACAGGCCTCTCTCATCTTTTTAAGTGGGAGAACTTGCACAATTGGTGGCTGACTAAATACTTTTTTCCCCACTGTATATACAATAGATTTTAGTGATGGCATTTAGCATTAATGCATTTGAATTGCAAGTGTTTTCTTTTGTTTATTCATGTGAACTGGTCTGCATCATGCATGCTGGTGTGTGGTCGGATCATCTCTCGCTCTGTATTGTGTCATGAACATTAATGCTCTTCTGTCCTCTCAGGTCTTCCCACAGTCACTCTGGACGTTTGTACCCCAGCTCAGCCGCTCCAGCAGAGCCGCGGGCTCCTGCCGTGTCCCCCGAACTGCCCCTCCGGAGCCCCTCAGACCCCGAGCCAACCGGCCCCTCCGCCGCTGCTGCCGACCCCGACTCTCACACACACACACTCTCACACACACACTCACACACAGCACGCCATCAGCGCGCACAATCACATGCTGCCTCAGGTGAGTCCTGGAGTCACTGTCGATCAGATGCACACATTATCATACTAAACATGATCTCTTAACTGCTCTTTAAACTTGCATTAATTAGCCCTAAAAATATTTTAATACATCATGTTACTTGAGGTCTGAAAAAAATCATTCAGTGTCATTTGTTGTGAAATAAGATGCACAAACACACGTTACAATCCAAACATTTCGTAAAACAATCAAAACATGTCAAAAAGAGGTTTGAGCAGTTTAAAATATAATAGATACATTTTTGAAAATTACGAAAAACGAAACAAACAAAAACATGAATGAAAAAAGCCAAAACAAGCCCAAAAGCCCAAACACAAAGTCCTTTAAGAAAATGATTGATCGTGATAATACACGCACAAATTTCTTTGGTAAATTGCAAATTCTAAATTGATCATTTAGGAGATAATTATTTTCATTTGGAAACTATATTTTTCATTTTTGTGTGTGTGTGTGTGTGTGTGTATATGTATATATATATATTAGGGCTGGGCAATTAATGCTATTTCTTATTTAGTACAGATTGGCCACGTACACACGGCAAGTTTCAGGAGTGACAGCTGCATTTAAATGCTGGACTGATTTTTTTTTATTGCATTTTATATTGTATTTTGTCATATTGTATTTTATATTTACATTATTTCATGTCCTGATTCATCTACTCTAGGTGGATCTCTTTTTTTTAATTTTGTAATTAATATTATTATCTATGCATTTTATATTCGTTTTTTTTTTTTTTTTTCCCTAGTACAGCTATTCTAGGTGGATGAACTTTTTTATTGTATTTTATTTTTATTTTTTAAATTATTTTATTAATTTTTGTATTTAATTTTATAACTGTTTTGTTTTTGTTACATATGTATTTAGTATAATTGTATTAAGTAGTCTTTTTTTTGTGTGTGTGCTGAGCAGAAATAAGCACATTATATTTTTGTCGATGAGCATGTATTAATTGTTCTGTACCAAAATGTGTTATTTCAGATGTAAAGGTTTTGAATTGTCCTCGTACTACTATTCTACGTGGATGAGTTTTATTTTAATTTAGTTTAGTTTATTCATTATTTATTTTATGCTTTTTTTTATTGCATTTTATATTGTATTTTGTCATATTGTATTTTATATTTACATTATTTCATGTCCTGATTCATCTACTCTAGGTGGATCTCTTTTTTTTAATTTTGTAATTAATATTATTATCTATGCGTTTTATATTCGTTTTTTTTTTTTTTTGTCCTAGTACAGCTATTCTAGGTGGATGAACTTTTCATTTTATTGTATTTTATTTTTATTTTTTTAATTATTTTATTAATTTTTGTATTATTTAATTTTATAACTGTTTTGTTTTTGTTACATATGTATTTAGTATATCTTCAGTAGGTTAGGCCATCCCAGAATGCATTGTCAAGCTCATTGAAAATTGTAAAATTGCTGTGCATCTCTGTGCATGATTGCAGACCAGTCACTTATGCAGCTCCATAACTGCTAGGATGCTGCCTATGTAGACAGTGAAGTTGCTCAGTAGGGTTTGAAGCGGCTCATGCTGTGATCTCTCTCTGTCTCTGTTCAGGGAGAGGAGTTGACTCCAGGTTTTGGGCAGATGTCTCTCAGCCGTCAGAGCTCCAGCGAGGCACCTGAGCCACCCAGCCTATACCAGCCTCCACCCGCCGTACTATCCCAGCATCCTCCACCGCAGCCCAGCTACATCTTGCCCCCGCCACCCTCTGGATACCAGCCCGCTGCTCCACACCCGCATCCTCCTCCACCACCGCCTCCACCAACACAACCCATCCTACAGACAGCTCCGCCCGCGCAGGGATACATGCAGCCTCCACCACAGCAGGTACACACACACACACACACACACACACATACACACACACATACTCGTGCACACATACACTCACACATACACACTAATGTACACACTCGCACGCACACACACACACACACACACACACACACACACACACACACACACACACTCTCTCTCACACTCACTCACTCT